AGGGGTGAGACTGAAGAAGTCCGTGGAAGCCAGGCGGCCAAGTGCCTGGGAAGCCACGCCAGGGGGTTGAGCTTCATCTTGAAGGCCCTAGTCCGCTTCTAAAGGGATTTCAGTAGGAAAGTGACTCGATCAGATTTGAGTTTTTTACGGGTGTTTCTGGCTGCTGGGCACAGCGGGATTGGAGGAGAGAGGAGTGAATTCTGGGGCCCTGTGATGGGCATTGAGAAGCAGAGGGGTCCTTAGTTTGAGAAGCCGCCCCCCACCCCATGTGCATCAGATAGGACGTTAACATACACCCACCAGCTACACTTGAAATGCAGTTCCGCCATGCTGTGAGGTGAGCGTGGTCCCCTTATCTGCTCTTTCAGTCCCCTGAAGTCAACCGCAGGCTGAAAAGATCACATGGAAAATTCCAGAAATAAACATTCCATAAGTCTTAAAGTGTGCGCTGTTCTAGGACCACTTAGCTCCATTCCCCACCACCACCACCCCCATGCGACTTCTCCCTGTGCCCAGGTCTCCGGGCTGCAGACAGCCCTGCGCTCTAGTCACTTAGGGGCCGTCTCAGACATCAGAGCAGCTGTCGGGATCGCACGCTTGTGCTCATGTCACCCCTCATGTGCTGAACAGGGGCCCCAAAGGGCAAGGGTGGCGGTGCTGGCGATGCAGACCTTGCAGACCGGCCAAAAAGAAGCCGGGAAGTGCTTCCTTTCAGTGAAAAGCTGAAAGTTCTCCACTTAATAAGGAAAGGGGGAATATCGATTGCCGAGGTTGCTAAGGTGTATGGTAAGAACGAACCTTCCACCCATGAAATTGTGAGAAAGAATATGTGCAGGACAATACAGTGTTTTGAGGAAGAGAGAGTGACCACATTCACATCACTTTTATTACAGTATATTGTTATAATTGTTCTGTCTTCTTATTAGTTACTGTTGTCTTTCTGTGCCTAATTTGTAAATGAAACTACCATAGGTGTGTACGTAGAGGGAAAAAAACTAGTATATGTAGGGCTTGGTAGTATCCGCAGTTTCAGACATTCGCTGGGGGTCTTAGGACATATCATCAGTGGATAAGGGGGGCGGGAACTACTGTATTTGAAATACGGTGTTTTGAGGAAGAGAGAGTGACCACATTCACATCACTTTTATTACAGTATACAGTGGGGCCTTGACTTACGAGTTTAATTCGTTCTGAGACCGAGCTCGTTAAGGAGCTCATTAAGGAGCTCGTTAACTCAAATTATTCCATCAACTCAATGCAAAAAATCGGCCGAGAGACAGCTGGTATCTCAAAAAAACTCGTTAGTCGGGACACTCGTAAGTCAAGGCCCCACTGTATTGTTATAATTGTTCTGTTTTCTTATTAGTTACTGTTGTCTTTCTGTGCCTAATTTATAAATGAAACTACCATAGGTGTGTATGTAGAGGGGGAAAAACTAGTATATGTAGGGCTTGGTAGTATCCGCAGTTTCAGACATCCGCTGGGGGTCTTAGGACATATCATCAGTGGATAAGGGGGGCGGGAACTACTGTATTTGAAAGATATTATAAAGTTTGTTTTTGAAATTCTTTGTTTCTGAGTAGCACATCTCATTGACTCTGGGCTGTGACTTATTGTGTGTGCCTACAGAGCCCTTCCAGAACTCGCAACGTTGGAGATGTAAGGACTTACCTATTTTCTCATAAACTGCCCCCACCTCCACCTTTGTATTCCTGGCCGGTCCCTCCCCACCTTTTCTCCCGCACGTTCACGCCCAACCCCCACATCACGCATCTCACTGTCTGTTATCCCTGACAGACACCATTCCCACAACCTCAGCCTCAACATGAGCTGCCTCAGCATGTTGGGAGTGTCATGTTGACCCCACTGCCTGGACCTCCCCTCCCTGAGGTTCACGCTTCCTCCAGCCTTCCCTCTGCTCCTGACCCTCTGCCCCTCTGCCTAGTGTGGGTGGAGGGGCCTCAAGGGACAGTGGGAAAATCTCAGGGTCCCCAACCAAATGACCCTGATGTAGGCTCATCATAGTCATGTGATCTAGACAAGCTGTTAACTCTCTCTGGCCCCTGGTCACAAGGTCCCCTCTCCTGCTGTGATTGCCACCCCCCCCTCACCCCCCAAAAAAAGATGCATTGGAGTCCCAACCCCCAGGACCTCAGAATGTGACCTATTTGGAGATGGATCTTTACAGAGGTAATCAAATCAAAGTGAGGTCATCAGGTGGGCCCTCATCCAGTATGACTGGTGTCCTCAAAAAGGAGAAATTGGGACCCACCCAAGCAAGACATTGTAGAGACACAGAGAGAAGACAGCCATCTACAAGCCAAGAGAGGCCTGGGACAGACCCTTCCCTGCTGACACCTTGATTTCAGACTTCCAGCCTCCAGAATCCTGGCTGGTGGCACTTGGTGACAGCAGCCCTGGGACACGAATTCCTCTGCCCTGCTGACTTCCTGAAATGAAATAACCTCGTGGAGGTGCTCTGTAGAGGGCAAAGGCCTATGACTCATTCATGCTGTGAGCAATCATTGACACTTACAGTGCGCAGGGGCCACGCCCGAGTGCTGGGGGTCAGCATGGCCAACTTGCATATGTCCTTTGTTTGTTTCCTTTACTCTCTTGGCCACCTTTTTTTTTTTTAAGTGTTTTTATTGATTTCAGAGAGAGGAAGGGAGAAGGAGAGAGGGGGTAGAAACATCAATAATGAGAGAGAATCCCTGCACACCCCCTACTGGGGATTGAGCCCACAACCCGGGCATGTGCCCCAACCAGGAATCAAACCGTGACCTTCTGGTTCATGGCTCAATGCTCAACCACTGAATCACACCAGCCAGGCTCGACCACCCTGTAAGTGGAATCCATCTCAAACTGTTACAGTTCTCGCACCTCCTAAATAATCATTAAGTGCATAGTAGGTACATAAGAAATGCCTATAGAATTGATTGCGTTTAGGTTTGTAATAGCTGCAAATGATCCAATGGACAAATCTGTACTTGGGCGTGCTGTATATTTTCTAGTCTTCAGCAGCATCCAGAAAAACTAATCATAGTTTAGGCCCCAAATAGCCTCATTTATTTTGCACCATGATGGCCTGTCTCCTTCTTTAGGGCATAGGATCTCAGGCCCTCGGTGACAGCTTCCATTTGCTTTCAGGGCTTCACCCCACCTTGCTGGGCACAGGTCATGGCTTTGGAGAGTGTTTTGAAGTGAAGTCCCATTTTCTTGGCGTTGCCAACTGCAGAGAAAAGGCATTTCATGCATGAAACATGCAGAATCTTCATAATCCCAATAATCCTGTAAGTCGTTGTTAATTGACCTTTTGAGAGCTCTACTTTATTCTTCAGTAAGAAAGGAAGGGATGGAGGGAGGAAGAAAAAAAAAACATACTTGGGGCAAAAGCAGTCCCTGCAGTGTGTGGACACCCAGTGACGCTGGGCAGAGGGTTTTCAGCATGAAGAGGATGAGAACACCAAGCACATAAGTTAGAATGCCATCTTTTTCCTGCAAACAGTGAGTAATTATAGATGCCAAGTGTCTCAGGGAAGATCTGCTGGGCATATGGTCCTTTTTTTTGCCTTCGTGCCACTTTTCTTTGCTCCTTCAGGGTCCAAAGAAACCAGCATGAATTTGCAGCTGGCCACAGCATCCCAACCCATGAGAAATAAATGAGGAACCATCTTCAAGTTCCAGGGGAACATGCTCCCATGTTCAATCCAAAACACATTTACTGAGTGTATGGTATAAGGAAGGGTCCTTCATGAAAGGAGTGTACAACCTTGCCTGACAGCTCAGTTCCACAATCATTTATTGAGTGATTACTGAATACCAGGCACTGTGCTCAGTTGTGGGATGGGGAGGGGAGGGACCAAGAGGAATATGCCAAGATTCCTACCCCTAAAGGGGTTATAGATTCATGAGGAATATTCACAGAGTTACATATTTTCTTTTCCATTCTCATAGCAACCTATAAAGGAGGCACAATCATCACACCCATTTTACAGATGTGGCAACTGTGGCATGAGGGTCAATCACTTCCCTGTGTGGGGTCAGGAAGTAGATGAGGTGGAGTGTGGATCTAGCCTGGCTCTGCACATTGGGCTAAAGTGGTAATCCCAAAAGATGTAAGAGATCACAGGGAAGAGAATGGGCGGGGGGGGGGGGGTGTAGAGAGGTAAGCAGCCTGCAGGAGAGGACAAAGAAAATGCTTCCCTAGAGGTGCTGAGAGGGAGTCTTTGAAACCCAGAGAAGCAGTGACCCCAACAAGGAGACTGGGAGGCATTAGGAAGGGGGTAAATTTTGAGCTAAGTTTGAAAATTGATGAAGATTTTTAAAATATATTTTTATTGATTTTAGAGAGGAAGGGAGAGAGAGATAGAAATATCAATGATGAGAGAGAATCATTGATTGGCTGCCTCCCCTGTGGGGAATGAGCCCACAACCCCGGGCATGTGCCCTTGACCGGAATTGAACCTGGGACCCTTTGGTCTGCAGGTCGACTCTCTATCCACTGAACCAAATAACTAGGGCAAAAAATTGATGAAGATTTTGATAGGCAAGGAGGCCAGGGGAGCCCAGCACAGTTGCAAGCAGGAGCAGAGGCAGGACCATGAGGGCTGGGGGTGCTGGGGAAGATGAGAGGGATGTGGATGGAGCAGAAGCATCACTAAAAATAGTACATTAAGAAAATTATACATCACGACCAACTGGAATTTATTCCTGGAATTCAAAGATGGTTCAGCATATGAAAATCAATTGATGAAATACACCACTTAACAGAATATGGGGAGTGGAGGAGCAAATGATTACTTCAATTGATGCCAAAAATCATCTGATAATATTTAACAACCCTTCATGATATAAACACTCAATAAACTAAGAATAGAAGGAAACTACCTCACCATAATAATGGCTATATGTAACATACTTAATGATGAAAAACAAAGTTTTTCCTCTAATATCAGGAACAAGGAAAGGATGACTGTTTTCACTACTTCTATTCAACTTAATACTTGAAGTGCTAGCCAGAGCAATTTGGTAAGAAAATGAAAAAAAGGGAGGGAGCATCCAAATAGGAAAGGACGAAGTGAAGTTATCTCTATTTGCAATATCAGGAACAGGGCAAGGATGACTGTTTTCACTACTTCTATTCAACTGAATACTTGAAGTGCTAGCCAGAGCAATTTGGTAAGAAAATGAAAAAAAAGGGAGGGAGCATCCAAATAGGAAAGGACGAAGTGAAGTTATCTCTGTTTGCAGACAACATAATCTCATATGTAGAAGACCCTAATGATTCCCTTAAACAAGCAAACAAAAAAAACTGTTAGAATTAATGAATGGATTCAGCAAAGTTGCAAACATCAACACTCAAAAATAAGTTGTTTCTATAGACTAA